TGGGCGTAAGTAAACGGCACTTCCGCAAACAAACGACTATCCGTACAGCTTCCAGAAATGCAGTCCGCACACACCGAATAGGCGGTATTTACTAACTTAGGGAATGCAGTTCAGAACCAAAGACCCTGGCATATTCACTTTCAGGCTGCGAGAGTTTGCCAATAATTTCTTATTGTTATTTTCGGTACAGAAAACCTATGCAAATTATAACGATTTCAAATAGCTTACCTGTATCAATATGTCTCGATCACTGCTGTCCAAAAAACGAAATCCCGGAAGTGTACTAACAAAAGTCACAACCGCAGTATTTACAGCACTGGAGCTTTCGTCCCCTCTGTAAATCGAAGTTCATTTTAAAACAGTTTGCACAAGAAGTGATTCTATAGTCACCACTTGTCCTTGTTTTTACCGTAGTGTAGTAATGGACCATACCAGGAAGTCAAACCGCCACTAATTACAACCTTACTAACAGCAGTTGCTGAGTATTCTCAAACTATTGCTCACTGCTTTACCGCCCCCCAAGGGCAAGATATGTAGGAATTTGCGATTTCAACTTCCACTGTCCCATCAAATTTCAATGCCACCGGTATCCCAAATCTACAGAGCAGACGCCTGCGGGGTGCACGCCAATTTAGCTATACTCATCAAAGTATAAGTTCAACTGTATAACACTTACCTAACTGGACACCAGTATTGTAATGGTGACTGCTCAATGAATGCGCGTAGTGTATCGACGAGCAACAAAAATCCCGAAACGCATGTTTCTAGCACTGATGAGGCATCTTCCACCGCTTTTTTCAGAGAAGTAAATGCAGATACGTCTGCGAGGCGAGCCATTTCCTCCGCTATTCGCGCCTTTTCACGCTTCGGCACGCGGCCAAATCGAACCGCTGGAATCAATTTGCATATTCCATATAACCACTATAAGTAATATCTCAGATAAAAAGCAGAGACTCTTCAAGTATTAGGGGCAGAAATTAAAAGCATTTTAATAAAAAAAAATTAGAGGACAGTGTCATCTAGACCAACTTTTCCGTATTCAGTGCAATTCAGCATTCTACTTCTGCTATCTGTGACTTTCATTTGTATTTCAAAAGGCGGGATCTTTCCTAGTCTCCATTTCGAAATAGGTGTTTAATATGAAGATTTTACGGATCAGTCTATCATGCAGTCATTGCAGTTTCTAACAGCAGTACAAACGAGCGAAAAAATATATCACGACCGAAGAAGGATGATGAAATGGCACGCTAGCGAAATGACCCGCGAAGTGAAAGCGAAGGAGATTCTTTCTTTGAAATGCAGCTTTGAAATTTAAAGTTTTGTAGTTCGGTGGAAATTCTAGGACCATTCACAGTACACCATTTAAAAAATTTTGGGTGTCTCGTCAAAATTTTTAGTATTGGGCGTCTCGTCAAAATTTTTAGTATTGGGCGTCTCGTCAAAAATCGTTCCAAGAGTTGGCGTGAGGCTTTGGTATTTTTGGACTGCCCGCAGTACGCTAGGAATAAGTTGTTTTTCCCTAGTATGTATTTACTACCTTCAGTAAATATGTAAACACAT